ATCCTCTAACTTACTCACAAGGATAACACATGGATTGACACGGTCAGGCTTTCACATGAGATGTTAATTAATGGATTAACATTGTAGGAAGAATCAGTCAGGAATGTAAAGATTTGTTGAGAAGAACTAAGCTTATACAAATATGTGATAGTATTTAGAATGCCTCGTAAGATAAAAATCACAGGAAAGGTATGAGGTAATTTCATGATGTCATTTTCTAGACATATAGAACCAAATTGTTACATTCAGGAGTTAAGATACTTGGATACTAGAACGTTACATCACATATCGTTATTGAACCAACTAGTATTTTTCACTTTTACGTGAATACGCATTAAGCATTTGCAAATGACCTTTAACATCATACTATGAACTTTGACGTCAAATCTATAACACAAAATGATTATAGAGTGGTTTACATAGTTTGCTTGTTTGGTAACCTTCCTTTTTGACTTAAGTCTTATCTAGGGATGGACGGTGCCGGGGTTGGGTCTCGGTAGGGGTGGACCGGGCCCGGTCTGGTTCCAGTTCGGGCCTAGGCCCGGCTGGGCCGGGATGGTTTTGGGTAAGGCCCGGAACCGGCCAGGGAGTCCACCGGTTCCGGTTCATTTTTTTTTTTTTTTTTTTTTTTTTTTGTGTTTTCTTATTTATATCAACCCCCAACCCCCCATCCCCCCAAACCCCTCGGAAACACCCGGTCCAACCTACCTAAACAGCCCAAACCCAAAAAACAAAAAAAAAAGGCCTGAACCGGCCGGGCCAGTTCGCCTTTTTCAGGACCCGGAACCAGAACCGATTACCCCCTCGGGACCGGGCCTAGGCACGGAACCGGAACCGGTTTCCCGGGCCGGTCCGGGTACAAACAGTACCGGTCCGGGCCAGGCCTAGTTGGCCCGGAACCGGTATGGTTTGTGCCGGTACCGACCTGGTTTGCGTCGGAACCCCTAGGTCTCGGCGGGCTGTAGGCCCGACACCGACCTGGTTTGTGCCGATATTGGTCCGATCTTTTGGTAATTTTTTTCTTAAATAATTGAACAAGTGCTAGACATTAAAAAATAATGAAAATATTTATTTGAAATATAAAGTACAATTTAGAATTGAGAATAATTTTAAATATTAAATGCTATTTCTAAAAAATCATTTGGAATCTTTGCCAACGTCGGTTGTTGTTTCCTCCATGAAGTGACGGTCGGAGACAGTACAAACTTTTATAATCCGTTAGGACATTGCCGACTGCGCTAAATTCTTATTCCACGGCTACTGTTGACATCAACATTGATAGTACTTGCTTCATCATCTTCGATAAAATCGGGGAGATTCTTCTTTGTCCTTCCACCACTTCAGAATGTCAATGTCATCCCTTTCTTCATACTAGACATGAAACATTAGATATAAAGAAAGCTCGTCATGAGATAAATATAACTACTTGATGTCTATTGTACTCATTCATTTATTAACATGAGCAGTTTTTATGCTTTAAGCTTAAATACTTAATTCTTTAAAATCATGAAAATAATCAAAAAAAGAAAATCAAATGTTGCTTTTACAAAAAAAGTAAACAATCGATCGATCTATATGAACAGTGAACACACACATATACATATGGGTATATCAGTGCATATATATAACTAGAAGTAATTGAAGACTGTACAATTGAATAATGCTTTATTATTTACTTTATAAATAAACAAATAATAGAGTAAAATATTATAAATGGAACCTGAAATATATAAGACCATAATACCTTATCTTTCCGATGGATCTGTTATAAAAATGTTCTCCGTTATCAACGTAACTTTCTTATACTCCCCATTTAAATTCTTTCCTTTTAGAAAAAAACACTTTATATTTAGATTACTTACCATTTCTTTTGAAAAAACTTCTCAAACAGTTTACAAAATATAATTGTATGCACATGGATAGATAGGACCATTTATGCACCCGCCGCCGTTTGGAATGATTCCCATGATTCATGAAACTTTTTGTACATGTTCTTAAGTCTAGATTATGCAAAAAAACAAAAATCAGCTTGAAATTCAATGGAGAAGTCAGTTAAATACTTTATTGAAACACATTGTGTCAAACTATACATACAAAAGTGTACTTTTTTCAATAGTTTATTTAATTGTCTTCCAGATTGAATTTTAACCTGAAATTTTATGAACGTAATTAATCTACACTTCATGAAAAACATGTTCAAAAAAATTTATCAAAAACATCCACTACAAACCACCTCATGTCCGGGATCCTGTCGGTTGCTAGACGGAGGATCCTGTCTAGACAGACGGACATGAACTTTTTTGGTACGTGTGTGTGGAATAGTTCTTTTTCTAAAATCATTTGTGCATGACCGGGAAGAATTACTAGCAAAGTATTTTAATAGAAGAAAAAATTTTAATCTAGATTGATGCGGAAGAGAAGGTGTTAATTCAAAGGCATTCCTTAGAACATACCTTCGTGTGTTATATTGTCATTCCAATTCCGAATGCGATAATACCCAACATGACTTATCATGTTATGCAGGTAAATATAAGTCAAAAACAGTGGTGCGTTTTGGTTTGTTGCTGGAAAAACTATTGTAGTCATGTCCAATTATACGTGGTTGTGTAAAAAATAACCAATTGCAAACGATGACAGAGAACGAATATTGAAGTCGCGAAAGTTGTGTATAAAAAAATATTCTATAACATTTAACATGAAATGTAATATATTTTCCAAGGCTAAAGAGTCAAATAGGTACATGAACTAATTTAAAATGTTCAATTAGCCCCTTGTATAGGAGGTTCTGCCCGGCCGTCGCCAATTGGGGCGGTTCCCCGTGGAATTTTTGATGAAATTTTGGGCAACTTCTTCATTAAGTCTAGTTTACCCATACCAAATTTCAGCTAAAAATTCAACCGGGAAGGCAGTCAAATGATTTTTTGAAGATAACTGCGCAGTTAAACAACGCAATACATTTCGGAAAATCAATTGACTGCCTTCTGGATTTAATAGCTGAAATTTGATATGGGTAAACTAGACTTAATGAAGAAGATGCTAAAAAAATTTCATCAAAAAATTCAACTGGGAACCGCCCCAATTGGCGACGGCCGGGCATAACCTCCTATATAAAGGCTAATTGAACACTTAAGTTAGTTCATGTACCTATTTGACCCTTTAGCCTATTTTCCAATTATATTTATATTGTGTGTTGCTTACTATTATGTGGGGGTATAAAAGTTTGTTTACTATCCTGTAATCATTGGTAAATCGTATTGAATACATTTGGTTTTACGTCAAATTTTATTATAGCACAAAGTATAATTTTAAATAATTCAATTAAAATTATAAGTTTGTTTTCTAATTTCTCTTTGACTAAAATTAATCATATGTGTGGAATTTCTTCAACCATGCATCGCACGGGTGAATTACTAGTCAAACTATAATTGTAATTATAATTATACATATAATTATAAATATAATTAAAATTACACCAATACGTATACTTATAATTATTGTAATATGTATAATAATAATAATTATTTTTCCTATTTTAATTATTATAATTATATTATATTTATAATTACAATAATAATTATAATATTTATAACACAACAATCACATTTTTAACACTAATAATATACCTGTAATTATAATTATAATTATAATTGTACCTATAATTGCAATTGTAATTATAATTGAAATTATTGTTATAATTATAGTAATGATTATAGTTACAATTATAATTGTAATATACTCCATATATAGTAACTAATAATAAATAATACTGATATTAACAATAATAATAGTATTAGTAGTAGTAGTAATAGTATAAATAATAATAATAATAATAATAATAATAGTAATAGTAATAATAATTATAGTAATAATAATAATAGTTGTAGTGGTAGTAGAAATAACAACAACAACAATAATAACAACAATAATAATATAATGCCTCATCCGTCTCATTTAAATGTTTTCATCCACTATTCTCTCATTAACGTGAATTGTTTTTAATCTTTTACTTTATATATCCAACTTTTATCAAATTTAATTTTTCTTGATTATGTTTTCAAAACTTTTAATTTAGTTTCTGAATATGTAAATTTAATTTTATTTACTAAAAATAATCTTATTAATGATAGAGATCAATTAACTTTAAGGTCAGTAAAAAATCGTAGGGAAAACTGTCAAATAGGTCCCCGAACTTTCATAAAAAGGTCAATTAAGTCCTTCTATAGGAGGTTTTGTCCGGCCGTCGCGATTTGGGGCAGTTCCCGGTGGAATTTGTTTATGAATTTTTTTGAGCATCTTATTCACCAAGTCTAGTTTACTCATACCAAATTTCAGCTAACAATTCAATCGGGAACACATTCAAATTAATTCTTGAAGATAACTGCGCATTTTTGCGTTCTCGAATTAATTTGAATGCGCTTCCGATTAAATTTTTAGCTGAAATTTGGTATGAGTAAACTAGACTTGATGAATAAGATTCTCAAAAAATTTCATCAAAAATTTCCACCGGGAACCGCCCCAAATCGCGACGACCAGACAGAATCTCTTATAGAAGGACCTAATTGACTTTTTTATGAAAGTTCGAGGACCTATTTGACAGTTTTCCCAAAATCGTAAATCGCATGAAAAACTTTAAGTTGGACAGATGGAGTAATAATAATAATAATAATAATAATATTAAAATAATACTCCCTCCGTCCCAAAAAATTCTTCCAACTTTCTTTTTTGGGACGTCCCAGAAAATTCTTCCAACTTCACCTTTTTTATTATTTGTGTGGCTCAAATTCATTTCACCTTTTTCTTACACAATTACAACCACATATTTCCACTTTATTCTCACTTTCTTAAACTCTGATCCAAGTCAAATTTGGAAGAATTTTCTGGGACGGAGGGAGTAATAAATATAATAATCGTAATAATAAACATTCAATTGATTAAATCAGATTGAAATCAATATGAGAACCATTTCTAAGTTAAGGAATGAGACCCATTGTGTGGGGGAGTCCACGGCCTTTACATTTCGACACGTTACACGACCTTTCAAATTCAAGAAACAAATTCATCAACGGAAAACAGAGTGAGAAGAAGAAGAAGAAAAACCCAGAAACAGATTCTATTACCTTCCTTACCCTGTTTCATATTAAAGCTGCCGCTGCTGTTTATCCTCCGCCGTGGCTCCGCCACTCTCTCTGACACACTTCTCTCCTCCTGCTTTTTCCCTCTTCTACCGCAGCCGCCCATCCACGCCGCTGTAGAATATGGGGGTCGATTACTACAACATTCTCAAGGTCAACCGCAACGCCAGCGAAGATGATTTGCGCAAATCCTACCGTCGTCTCGCCATGATCTGGCACCCTGATAAGAACCCCGGCGCCAAAAAGCACGAGGCAGAGGCCAAGTTCAAACAGATTTCCGAGGCCTATGATGTTCTTAGCGATCCGCAGAAACGCCAAATTTATGATCTTTATGGCGAGGAGGCGCTCAAGTCCGGGCAGGTCCCTCCGCCGCCGCGGGGAGGGCCGCACCATTTCCGTACCCAGCCACATCCGAATCCCTCGTTCCGGTTTAACCCCAGGGATGCGGACGATATTTACGCTGAGTTGTTCGGTGGAGGGTCCTCGTCTGAGAGTAATGGGCGGGCCAGGGGGACTAGGGATGGGTTCTTCAGGAGCACGGCTAATGCTGGCGCAGAGTTCTCCGGAGCTGGTACTGTACCAGGCGCGGCGACTAGGAAGGCGCCGGCTGTAGAGAATAATTTGTTGTGTAGTTTGGAAGACTTGTACAAAGGGGTTAAGAAGAAAATGAAGATCTCGAAGACGATTCTTGATGTTTCTGGGTAATTTTCTGCTTTTGAAGTTTTGCGATATTTCTTCTAGTAACTGAGCTTTTTTGTTTTGTTGTAGATTCTGTAACAAATCTGGGCTAGGGTTTTTTTATTTTAGATGCAAAATTATGTGTTTCTTTGTTTGGGTGATACTCTTGCTTATTGTTCTTGGCTTCTTGCTTTCCTGGCTTTATGAATCAGTGTTATAGAATTGGATGCTTTGTTATGGGCATGTCTCTAGCATGTTGAGGGCTTCTCTGCTTTCTTTGTTTTGACTTTTGACTAATGATGAAACGATAACTGCTACTGGAGCTAATATTTGTATTACTAGAGGGAAAGATAATCTGCTCGGCATATTGGGGTTGTTATAAACTATATTCATCTTCTAAATGATTATTGGTCGTTTCCTTTGCCTAGTAAGATATGAATTGTAGTGTAAATGGATTTGATTGTACTGTCCTAGCATACTTAGGGTTATAGTTGGTAAAGCCTTCTAAATTGCCAATGCAGTGAAACAAATCAATATAGTAATCATATATCCTGCATTTCAAATTTCAATTTGTATAAAACTTCTGACCAATAAATGAAAAATACATAGTATAACTTATAAGCTAGGACATGAAGCTCCATTGTTTTCGTCATAGTACACTTTCTCCCCTTGCGATGATCATGATCCATATGTGTCGCCCATGCTATTTACTTAGATAACTTTCCCATTGATTTTTGAACAGTGTCCACTAATACCTTCACTTTATGTTCCTTCACTCCTGAAACTGTATGCACTTTGCAGTATAGGTTCATAAGGATGTGTTAACCGTGGAGTATATTTGTGTTATGGTATGGTAAAGTGCTTCATCTATTGGTTTCCTGCTACAACAGAGATCGTATTTTACTCTAATAATAATATAATATACTACATATGTATTTAGGTTTTTGTGCCTGCAACATGCCAACACTACAAGTTAATGTGGAGTAGGGGAAGGATCTTAATGTCTATAGTGGAGTGAATTGAGAGTCCACTCTTACACGGAATTCTTTGCATCCAAACCTGCTTTTCATTGTTTATTGAAAAACAAATTTAATATCAACCATATGAGCTTGACAAGTTGTAGTTTACTAGTTTTGTTGGATGTTCAGTTTTTAATAAAATATATGAGTATAAACTTTAGTTATCTTACTTAAACAGTGTTTAGTTTATTTATTTACCTTATCCTTCCAAGTTAAGTTACTCCACCTTTCTGTTTTTATTTTATCTTTCTCTTTCAATGATACCCCTGAAGTTTCCCCATGAACGTAAGTTCTTTGGGTGCCTTCTAGGAAATTATATCATAAGTTTGTTTACTTCTAAAGGGGGTCTAAAGCAGGCCAAATAAGATTGGTTTAATTTGCTTTGAGTTTTCATACACAACTCTTACCCTTTACAAATGGCATATATATCGTGATTTTTATTTAAGACAATATAAGTCTCTGCGGCACTGGGGTAATAATGATGATGATGATGATGAATATAAGTTGCATGTGAACCTGAGAATTGTCCCTTTTAGAAAATGTAAAAGATAGAGACTGTTAATGATTTTTCCTGAAAGATAGAGACTGTTAACATCAACCTTGCCATCACCTACGAACTTTTTCTCAACATATTGGTTTTAGTTTGCAATGGAGCCATAGACCACTATTTTTTGGCTTGGGAATATGATGGAATAAAGCAAAATGGCTCACTAAACTGTCTGCACTTCTTTGTTATGAAGCAGCAGTCAGTCCATGTAATTTTCGACGCGATTTTCACTATGGGTCATCCGGAAACAGTCTCTTTGTGCTTTAGTACAAGGGTAAGATTGCGTACATCCGATCCCCCTACCCAACCGAAGGTGGGAGCCTTTGCGGCAGTGGGGTAATGATAATGATTGGTTTTAGTTTGGGCCCTTTACTTTCACCTACTCCCAACCAGTTATCAATTCTGACCCCTACATTGCCGTCGCCATCAGCTTTATTACTTCCAGTATAACTATCACTTCTATCCATAAATCACCACCTCTTAATTACCCTATCATCATTACCATATCCTCGGGCATCAAACAACCAACTCAAAACTGGTACTGATAAGGGGAATCCGAGTGTTTGATTAAAACAAAGAACTGTGATGGTCTCTACCTACATATTTCCACTCCCAGGTATTTAAATCCCTCCCATCAACATTTACCTACCTACATATAATCATCAAGCTAATTTCAGTTGTTACTTTAACACTTAGTGTTCATAGAGGTCACTCACCATATGCAACTTACCCATAGATAATCATCAAGCTCACTCCAGTAGTTACTTAGCTATTATTATATTGTTCATAGATGTCATTTGCTCGTATCTATCTACATTCACCACTTCACCAGTCACCATAACCAACATAAATACCTATTGTCTTCGTCGCGTACCATACACAATAGGCAATGGGGGACCACCTATGGATATGTACTCCCGTCCCCAAATAAGCTTCAAAATTCGACCATTTTAGTGAAAAATGATACTTTGGTCTTTACATTTGGGTGTGGAATTAGCTAAAGAAAATAAAGGTGATAGTTGTTATTTACAATTTTAACCTTCTAAGGAGAATAAGTATTAGTACGAGTCCCCAAAAAGAAAAAGAGAAATGATAGATAAAAAGATGAAGGGAGAATATAACAAGCTAGTGGAGTTAAAATTAGAAAACCATAAAAGTGAACATACAAAAAAAAGAAATTGGGACAAGGTTAGTGTTTTGTCACATGAAAGCTCTCTTGATCAATTTGTGTTAGTTTACATTTGTGAATTATTATTTGATTATAGTTTTTATTATTATAAATTATAAAAAAAGAACAATGTTTTAAGGAGAGAATTGATTTCCGTGAAAATCAAATAGTGAAGTTTATTTAGGGACAGATTCATGGCTGGAGTACTTTTATAACTAAAAATTTACAAGCGCAAATTTTAGTGCAGACCTAAATGAACCCGATAATAATCATAACCATTTGATCTTAAACCTTACGGTTCACGTTAAGTCCATATGGATTGGTAATTTTTGTGGCACCTAATGAAACCACACTCATACACATTTACGTTTATATGTTTGTGGAGACACAAACATGCACACACATATATTTGTAACAGTAAATAATCAGGCCTGAAGTTCCTTCTAAATCTTGTGATTAGTTTGACACTCCCTTCCATCTTAGACATTGTCTCTGCACTAATTTTGTGCTTGTTTGTCCCAATTAGATAATTGGTAAAGCATCTATATAAAAGTGCTTAGAGTTAGGGCATATTAAAGAAGCTAATATTTTGTTGGTAAACATTGTTTATTTATTTCAAAGGAAGAAAAGCTTGTTTGGAGTCTTTTGAGGACTGTCAAGTTGTGCCTTCATTTTTTTTTCAATTACCTCTAATAAGTTTTATGGAAACTTTTCATGTTTTCTTCTACGTAGAGAGTTGATGTTTTTATACCAGTGTATCCTGGATATATTATATATATTTTAAATATCAACCTTTTAATATTGACTATGCTTATATTGAAATTTTGTAATGTACTTTTCGTGCTTTTTTGGTTGCAACACTTCCATATTCGCGTTTGCCAACGCACAACTTTGACCATTAATATATTTAATTCCCTATTTGTAAATTTTTTTAAAAAATCACATTTTGGAAATCTAAAATGAGAAGAAATTAATTATATTTAAAAAAATCAATTTTTAAAAGCATTCGTAAATAAAATGCAATTAAAGTAGAGCACATGAATAGTGTAAAATTTCTAATGTTGCAACAATTTAAGAAAGGAGGTAGTACATATTACCTGTTCTTTAAATTTCGACTTTTGAATCATGATGGATACCCATGAGTATGAAATGTGAATCACTAAATAGTGAACTCTAATGGGACAATTAGAAAAGGAAGGAAAATAATAGCAGAGTTGGGACTGATTTCAGATCTTTGGTCAAAGGAAAGTTATTCTCACCTTATTTAAGGCTTTAAGCATGATTTCCCACCTGTCGTATTTTTTTACTATGTATTACCTTTTATGATTGAAGTAGTTTAGTTTGAAGAGAACGGTGTCCTTAAGAGGGGGTTTAATTTGTAATAACCTAGGTTGTTGAGAAAGATCCACCCTTGCTAGAGGTCTCTTGGAAGGGTTTCTATCGTTTATTTTCCTTCTATAAAAAATCCTTGCATTTACTTTAAAGAAAGATTTTGAGACCCAAACGTTCTCTCCAGAAAGGGAAGAGCTTGCATAACTTGTCTCAGCTATTGCCGAGCTAAATATTCCTCTTTCGAGGACACCACTTCTATTGAAATAAAGCTATTCCACTTAGAAAGGTAAGTAGAACTAAAAGAAGCAGTTTATGTTGTGTTGAATATTGTAGATTTATTCCTACCTCCAATAAAATGTCGTCATATTACTATCCAACATTTTGCTAGTATTTTCATTTTTCATCCTTCCCATGTAAGAATCTATGTAGTGCTTCACATAATCACAATCTGTACTCCTGTGTATGTATCAGTTGAGAATTAATGGGAAACAAGTAATGTCAATATTTATGACTCTATTTTCCGTTGTACCCAAAAAGAAGATATCTATGACTCTACGTGCATTTATTAAAGAGAGACACATAGGTATTTAACAAAAAGCTCCTACCGAAATTAACTATCCTTGAAATACTATTGCTGTATGGACATATGGTTTTATCTTAGTTTTGCCTTGCTTTAAAGAGTTAATGCTGATTTATTACATACGCATTATGTATTGACCATCATTTTTACACTCATTGTGATCAAGGTCCATAATAGTTGATATATGATACATCACCTTCTCCCACACACGCGTCGCTCACACATGTGTACTTGCGTACTCAATATAGATAAAGTCATATAGGTACTTGTAAAAGTGGGTCAAAATTGGTCTGGATGTATTGTTCACAACTGGTGCTGTATTTAAACTCCTCATTTTCTCTGAGGATGAGGTGATGGTATTGAATTATTATTGATGTTCTTTATGGCATGTTTTCAGGATGTGCACATGTTTTTTTAAATGGGCTATTTGTTATATTGAATATATGCTAATTGTATTGTCAACCGGGAGTGATAATCCTTGTCCTTATGTTGGTATTGTCTTATTGCAGTCTGCCTAGAACTGTGGAGGAGATCTTAACGATAGAGATAAAACCTGGTTGGAAGAAGGGCACAAAGATAACCTTTCCTGAGAAGGGAAATCAAGAGCCTGGTGTCATTCCGGCTGATCTTGTCTTTGTGGTTGATGAAAAACCTCATCCTCTTTTCGTCAGGGATGGAAATGATTTGGTTGTCAAGCAGGAGATATCGCTTCTCGAAGCGCTCATAGGGAAAACCGTGGAACTGACTACATTGGATGGAAGAAATCTTATGATCCCATTGACTGAGGTTGTAAAACCTGGATACGAGGTAGTGGTACCGAACGAAGGAATGCCAATATCTAAAGATCCACGCAGGAAGGGAAATTTACGGGTGAAGATTGATGTTAGGTATCCGGCAAGGCTCACTGAAATTCAGAAACTAGAACTGAGCAGAGTCTTGGAGGGTACCTGAAGATTAAGTTTTCTCGTTTCAACTCTGGAGGGGTGATCATATCAACTCAAGTTGAATATGCAGCTTTTGGGTGTACATATAGGATGTCAATTAGGTAGCCTTTATTATTATTATTATTATTATTATTATTATTATTATTATTATTATTATTATTATTATTATTATTATTATTATTATTATTATTATTATTATTATTATTATTATTATTATTATTATTATTATTATTATTATTATTATTATTATTATTATTATTATATTATTGTTTTGTTAAAATTCCTTTCTTTATGGTCTCTTTACCCTACTCACCGGGTGTGGGGACAAAGGAATAGTTTTCTGCATCACAGCTTTTGGTTTAAGATTAGTATTAAAGGTGAGTGTTTGATGGGTTTATTTTAATTGTCTTTTATCTGGTTATTTTTGTACGTCTGAAGAGAGTAAGAGGTGATTGCTGGTTTTTGCTCCTCTTTTCTTGGTCTTGGTGACAATAATGCTCAGTACACTTCTGAGCTAGATTGCTGAGGCGCACTGAGGCAATGTCATTTCCTAAGGAATGTATGCAACATTTCTTGACGTGACATTAGCCACCAACAGAATTTCTTTCGTTTTTTTATTTTTGGTCTTTCCTTCGTGTTTACACTATACATGGTACAAGTGTTGCTGTGATTGCCCTGGTTCTGGACCAAAACAAGAGCAGATAACAGCCAGTTTTTGCCTTACCGCCACTGCCCACTAGTGATTGACAATATGAGTATATGACGGGGCTTTGAATTCTAGATATTTTAAGATGTTTTTAATTGGATTGAATTCTCATATAGACCTAGATAATGCTGTAGTAAACAACTAACATTACCCTAATGTCGCAAATGAACCCACCTACGTTGAAGTAAGATGAGTCAAATGTATGCAATCTTACACTTGCACTAAAGCACAAATAGACTGTTTCAGAGAATCCGTGATGAAAATCGTGTTGAAACCTAGATAAATGTAAAATACATATAAAATAGACCCGGTCAATTCAAGCCACATTGTATCGGATTTAACATATTAGACTACAAAAATATATTCCAATTAAAAGCATCTTTAATTCTATATCTATTTTTTTAACTTGATTTGCAAACCACCAAAATCATTGGGGCAATCGTCGGGGAACATTTGCCGAGATTTTATTAAAAATAAAAAGGGGTACAATTGTGAGGGGGATCGGACCAAGACTTCACCGGAAAAACAAATGAAACAGAAGGTAAAAATTAAAATCTAAAGTACGGGTAACCAAATAAATCTGCAAAGTAGCATCTTTTAACATTATTGGGTAAAAGTTTCACCTTAAAATATCGCTTCGATATTGGGCTGGAGGAGAGATCCGCTAAACTGTGGGCCGGGTAATTCCCTTCACGGTATGCATGTGTAAAACTTAGCCCATTAACCAAAGCCTATTGTTTCATATCCCAAGTTTCTGATTAGGTTTTTCTATCCAAAGAGCTTTTTATTTATTTCTCAATTCATCTATAATTTTCCAAGCATTTTGTTGTTCAATGACAATATTGTGACACTTCCAAGGAGGAGGTCACAAGTTCAAATTCATCTCAGTCAACAATGTTCTCATTTAGCAGAACATATACTATAATATGCCAGAAAGTGCAGCCAAAAATTCATCTATATATATTATTAATTTTGTTTGGTGTGTTTTTGACTCCTTATTTTAATAATACCATTGTAGCTTTCTCTAAAGATATGCCTTATTTAAGTTCCCATGGTTGCTACTGGTCAACCCCTTATATTCACCCTTATACTCACTCACTCATGCGAGAGATTATTTTTTAGCATGTGAATTCTGTTCACAGAAAAATAGACATGTTTTTGGTTTGTGAACATGTCAGATTTGTTTTGTCTGGAAATTAGATTCACAAGAAAAAAACAGTCCCACACAAGAGTGGGTATAATGATATGTGTACGGGATGAGTAAAAACAGAATTTTTCTAAGTTTTTTTTTGTCTTGGGCTTATTTATCTCTAAACACGACCCTTGGAATCACTTGAGACATTTGTGGTGCCAGATGGTGGCGACGATGGGGTAGTTGTAACAATCAATGTTCATGATGTTAGCTGATGGTAGCTAGTGGCGGCTATATATGGCAGATTTGATTTTCCTGAAATCTCATTCAACTAATGTTGTTCCACAATTAAGCTTTGGAATACCTTCTACATAATATTACTATAATAGTATCTTGTGAAATTTCATTTTCTTTCTTGCCTGGAACCTCATCTGTGAATAATATCATAGACCGTTTACCATGCGTATGATATATCGATCACATTACATCATCATTTGTTAAATAAAGAGATTTCAGCGCATACATCTTCTTATTCCTCTTTGTTGGCGCATACATTCCTCTTCTTCATTTATTTGTCTCGTCATCTCCTTCATCAATTCTTCCATTTTTTTCTCCATCAATTCAAAATTGGAGGCTGAGTAAGCTACAAAGAAAAATTATTTAAAGGCATGCAATTTTTTTCAAGCTATTTGTCTTATATTAGACGGTTTACGTTTAGACTTGCTTCATTAAGGCATTTTACATTCCGACTTGCCTCAAATTATATTGCCATTAATTTGGTTTGCATTTCAACTTGCCTCAAATTATATTTCCATTAACGCGATTTACATTTCAACTTGCTTCAAGTTACATTTTCATTAACACGATATAATTTCGGCTTGACTCAAGTTACATTTTCCATACACGTGATTTACATTTTTACTTGCCTCAAGTTATATTTTACATACACATTTTATCTTTTATAAAAGTAGTACTTTTACTTTTATTAAAAAAGACTCAATCTTTAACTTTTCTCACAACTAACACTTTCAATAGATGAATTAGTAAAAATCATTGTTCTAAAACTCGCTAGGCGCTAGTCCGGCGGTTGAGGGGCACCTAGCGCCTAGTCCGCCGATTAGGCCGATTTTTTGGCCGACTAGGCCGATTAATCGGTCCGGCTAGGCCGATTAGAATAGTGGTAAAAGTTAAAAAGAAAATTATATTTACATTTCATATCTTTTCACTTCTGTCTAGTTTTAAGTTTACAAACTTGTATTCATTATATCTTATTGATATTGATAAAAATGTGTAATTTTGAAAAAACAAAAAAGAAAAGCATAATTGTTGAAAAAAATGAAGTTTGAGTTTATAATTGATAAAATTAAAAATATTGGATATATTTTTTGAATTTGATGAAAGTTTGGAATAAAATGAGTTAATGGTCCTTATTCTAGGGATATTCCTAAAAAAGACTTAAATAGAACCTTCCACGTACGGTTCTAAATTCTAATCCAATTGTGGTGATCTACTAAAAGAGAGAAAAAAGAGAGAGAAAAAGACGTAGTTCTTAAGTTCAAAGTAAAAAAAGGCAAATCAGACAACCAACTACAGCATGTAATTCAGATGTTGGTTTGAAATATATATTTCTTCCTTTTCTTACTTTTCATTTCAGTTCTTTCCTGCCGTTTTCCAATAAAGTAAGGATGTTTTCTTTTGGACTCTGAAATTTGTTGATCTGGTATAATCTGGTCTGAACTGATCTGCTCTGGTCTGGTAAACGTCTGATCTCTGTGTATTTTATAATTACAAAAATCAAGTCTGGTTTTGTCTGGTCTGATCTAGTCTGGTCTAGGACTGAAAAGAGTCCAAAAGAAAGTATTGCCTTTTGGACTTTTATTCTTTAACTCCTCTTGTATTTTAAACTTTTATTTTATTTATTCTTTAACTCCTCTTGCGGTCTTGCCTTTCTTCCCGTTTTCACATTGCCTACTTGCAGTCTATTTTCCCATTTTCTGTGATTTGTAGCTAGCTATAGAGATTAAGGGATGGAAAATGCTAAGTATACACACTGTGTACACAAGTTATACATGGTATAAAAGCAAAAGAAAATCTCATTTTCTACTCCCTCTCTCGGTTCTCTCTTCCTTCTCTCTTCTTCATCTCCCCCTTCTTTCTTTCCTCTTTACCCAAACTCTTCTAAAATTTTCAACAACAAAAAAAATTATCTTCTTCATCCTCCTCTTTCCTTCATCCTCTTTTTCTCTACCTTTATTTATCACTTTTTTTCATCATTATTTGCACAAAATCAACCTATTCATCTTATTTCTTATATTTTTATTATGTTTCTAATTTTATTCAAATTATTGTAAATTGATTACACATACAACTACATCCTTCATTTGGATGTATATAGAAATTTAGTTTTTGTTCACCAGACAATTAAAACTGATCACACAGACAACTAAAGTTGATCACACAGACAACTATTGTCTGTAGAACGCACAACTATTGTCTGTGTGGTAAAAGTTGTCTGTGCACACAGACAAATAATTGTTTGTGCAACTTGAAAATATTGTCTGTGCACGCAGGCACTGCACATATATTGATTGATTTGCAAGCTGATGTCAGTGTCAGACGGCTGTCAACATACTTTTTACAAAAAAGTAAATGTCTGTGGACACAGACAAAAGTTGTTTGTGTAACAGACAACTCTTGTCTGTGACCACAGACAATTCCGTACCAATTGTCTGTGACCGACATTTTGTGTACAAGTTGTGTACAACTTGTGTACCCCTAGCATGGTTGTTAAGGGATATACCGCGACTTGAATTTGCGACAAGTCATATCATGACCAAGACCTTATAGAAGGTTGACCAATGATAAATTTGCAACAAGTCAATTCAAATGAGGGTTTTTTATAGCGGCGTATTTATATCATACGGAGTAATATTTTTGAAAATCTAGAAACAGACTTTTCGACTACATTAAATTCATCACCGTCATCTGTATTGAAAAAATACTAGTCCCTCCGTCCCGAAAAGATTGGGCAAATTTGACTTTCATATGGATTAATAAAATAACAACCGTGTAGTTCAAATTTGTGCAGAGGAGAGAGAATTAACTTTAGCCACGTATTTCTTACTTTTAATGGAAATGACAAATCTTTTTGGGATATCCAAAAAAGGAAATTTGGCCAACCTTTTTGAAACGGATGGAGTACGTACTCCGTATTAATCAAGTGTGCTTATTTTGAAAAAAAAAATGAAAATGTTTTACAAGTTT